GGGGACCAACTGCCGCACCAGCCGAAGATGGTAAAAGGCAGCCCTGGCAGTGGCCGCTACCTGGGCCTCCATCGTTAAGGTGGGGTCCAGAAGCACTCCCAAACTCCTAACCTCCGAAGCTGGCACCAACGGCGCCCCATCGAAGGCCGGGAGTGGGAGTCCCAATCCCATTCCGCCCCGACCCAAACACAGGACCTCCGTCTTCGCCGGGTTTAACTTCAGCCGGCTCAGCCGGAGCCACCCAGCCAGCTTTTGTGAGTCATGAAGTGAGCAGTCATGAAGTGAGCAGTGACTCATAAAAGCTCATATCCCGCCACAAATTCTGTTAGTCTTTAAGTTTCTACTGGACTCTTGCTCTTTTCTACTGCTACAGACAGACTTACAAGGCTACCCATCTTGACTTTTATGGTGCCATACTTAGAGTGCCAGATTAGAAGTGGGCAGACTCAGTAAAAATTCCAACACTGCCACAAAGCTCACAGACATTGTCTGTAATGGAAAGCTTAATTTCAGAGCAAAGTTTACAAGCATAGGCAGTTGCTTGGAAGGTAGTCTGCAGCTGAGTGGTCACATGACCAGAGAGGCAGAGAGAGAGAGAGAGAGGGAGAGAGAGAGAGGGAGAGAGAGAGGGAGAGAGAGAGAGAGATGTAATGGTTTTGGAATCTTCTGTTTTGAACTGGAGGGAGGAAAAAATGGTTGAAAAAGGCAGTTAAGGGCTGACCACAGACCAGAAGAGGAAGGAAAGAAAGGGTGCTCTTGGATGGGAGAGAGAGCGTGGACCCTGTGAGCTGCTGAGGAGTTTAATGATAGAAACTCCTGGTGTATAACTCAGACACACATAGTGCTCCTCTATAAGACATCTTGTTGGGGAAGGTTATATGGTTCTAGCTAGGGACCAACTGCAAGTGAAACAGTTTAAGGACACATGACCTTCGAACCAATTCATCCGAGCCTCAAACCAGGCCAACTTCGGGCCAGATTTTGGCTCAGTGTTCAAGTCTGTGCCCATCTGTAGCCCTAGTGGTTAAGTGCACAGACTCTAATCTGGGAGAACCGGGTTTGATTCCCCACTCCTTCACTTGCACCTGCTGGATGACCTTGGGCAAGCTGTAGTTCTGTCAGAGCTGTTCTTGAAAGAGTTCTCTCAGCCCCACCTATCTCACAGGGTGTCTGTTGTGGGGAGGGGAAGGGAAAGGAGTTTGTAAGCTGCTCTGAGACTCCGAGTAAAGGATGGGGTATAAATCCAATCTCTTCTTCTTCGAGCCATAGAATGTGTGCTCTGTGACTGGAATGACAGGTTGCAGAGTGGAATGACAGCCCCTGGGAGTAGCAGAAGCATTCTGGGACTGGAATGACAGGTTGCAGATGCAATGAAAGCCTCTGGGAGTAGCAGAAGTCTTCTAGAACTGGAATGACAGCCCCCAGAGTGAAATGACAGTCCCCAGCAATAGCATCTGTGCTCTGGGATTGGAATGACAGATCACAGAGCAGAATGACAGCCACTGGGAGTCGTAGAAGAGTTCTAGGACTGGAATGACAGCCCCCAGAGTGGAATGACGGCCCATGGGAGTAGCAGAGGTGTTCTGGGACTGGAATGACAGCCCCCAGAGTGGAATGAGGATCCCTGGGGGAAGCAGATGTGTTCTGGAACTGGAATGCGACCTGTCATTCCAGTCCAAGAGCACAGATTATGTTCTAAGGGGCTGTCATTGCACTCTGGAGTCTGTCGTTCCAGACCCCAAACACTTCTGCTATTCGTAGGGGCTGTCATTCCACTCTGTGCCTTGTCCTTTCAGTCCCAGAACACTTCTGCTACCCCTAGGGACCGTTATTCCACTCTATGGACTGTCATTCCAATCCCAGAACACTTGTGCTACTCCCAGGGGCTTTCATTCCACTTTGGGACCTGTCATTCAAGCAGGGCCGGCCTGCTCACTAGGCGAGCTAGTCTCTCGCCTAGAGCACGGGGCCATCATGGGGGCACCGGACTGAGCCACCCGAGGGCCCTGCTGCCGCTGCCCAGCCATGTACGCCTGCCGGAGCTGCCCCCGCCGCCCCAGTGTGAGCAGCCAGGCGCCCAGGGAGGAAGGAGGCGCTCTGCAGTCCCACCCCGCCAAAAGCTCAGCTCCAAGGGCCCTGCCACTGCCACCCGCCGCAGAGGAGCAGCTGCCCTTCAGAGCCCCCCCCCGTGCCCTGCAGCCCCTTCCGCAGGCCGGCCGCTTTGCCCTGCTGCCCGCAGGTCCAGGAGACCGCTGCAGACGCCACCGCCGCCTCCCTGCCCGGCTGGGGCTGAGCCGCACGGCCTTCCCTTCCTCCTTCTGGCCTTTCCCCTCCCCCTGAGCCGCACAGCCAGGGCTGAGCCATGGCCAGCAGAACCCGTGCCCCTGGGAGCCCTCGGCCTACTGCCTCCGGCTGCCCCCCACAGCAGCCCTGCTTGGTGCTCCTGCGCCCACCTTGCTGCCACCGAGGAGGAGGATTCCTTTGTTAGGGGCAGCAGCCGCCCAAGCCGAGCTGAGCCAAGCCCTGGAGGAGCTGCCGAGGGTGGGGAGTGAGCTGGGACTGGGAAGCGCTGGCATGGGGACCTCTCCTCCGCCGAGCTGGCTCACGCGGGGCGGCGCAGAGTTGGTATGACAACGAGCCCCGAGGAAGGGCTGGCACCGCGCTGGCAATGGCCAGCGAAGTTCGCGCTGCCGGAGCGAGCAGCAGGAGCGCTGAGGGAAAGGTAATCCGAGTCTTCTGGGCATGTGCAAGCCCTTCAAATCGGCTGCTTCCCTTGAAGTGTCTGCACGGTCAGCTCTGCAGGTCCCACGATTGGGGCGAAGGGGAAGGGATCGCCCTCGGCCGAGGAGAAGATCAAGGTTAGGCGCTGGCTGGGGGTAGGGAATGACCTCTCCAAATCTCAGTCAAGCGGGAAGGGGGGTGCGCACGCATGTAGACCTCTCGCAGTGCACCTGTAGTAGAGATGGGACTATAAAGATTTCCCCCTTTTTTGATTATTCATATTTCTCTGGTTTTTATAGATTTATTCTTAAATAACATTTTATTAGAATGTAGGAAAGGCCTGTTATATAGAAGGCTTTCCTCTTGTAGGTCTGATATTGTTAGCAGACAACATAATAGGTACAAAGTTCATGATTCTGTAGTTCTTAAGGGCAAAACCTTGCAATGTCTGGGTCAGAGAAGATTTTAGTTTTGTATCAGTAAAAAATACTTTTGTTTGGGATATGAAGAATCCTTACCCGTTATCAGTTAGGTTGGGTTAAGTAAACACTTAGGTTTTATGTAGATTTAACGTAGATATATGTTTCTTTACATCTGACAAATCAGAGGCTTATTATTCAAATGACCACTGTCTTTTGTAACCAATTATGCTTTTTGAATATTGTTTTCTTGATGATGTCAGTCCATGTATAAAATATCATGTATTTCCTGAATATGTTCAGAATATGTTCAAAAAGAAGATGATGAAGAAGAAAAAGAAGAAAGTTGTCAATTTTTGATTAGTTATTTGGTCCAATTGTTTTCCTGTTAATTGAAGCATATTCCTTGAATATGCTGAGAAGAAAGTAGTCAGTTTTGGATGGACTATTTGGTCCAACTGTTTTCTTGTTAATTGAAATAAAACATAGATCTTCCTCCTCATTTGACTTCATTTTTGACATGGAATCTCATATGTACAACACACCCAGGTATCGCTGGGAGGTTGGCATCTGCGCTCACCTAGGGCACAAGAACACCTTGGGGCGGCCCTGCATTTAAGTCCTGGAACACTCCTGCTACTCCCAGGGACTTTCATTCCACTCTGTGCCCTGTCATTCCAGTCCAAGAGCACAGATTCTGTTTCCAGGGGCTGTCAGTCCCTGAACACTTCTGCTTCTCCCAGGAGCTGTCATTCCACTCTGTGGGCTGTCATTCCTGTTTAAGAACATTTCTACTACTCCCAGTTGCTGTCATTCCACTGTGTGACCTGTCATTCCTGCCCCAGAGCTCACATTCTATAGCTAGGGACCCTCTGGGGGCTGTCATTCCAGTCCCAGAGCACTGAGCCTATTCCCACATTCCACTCTGCAACCTGTCCTTTCAATCGCCAGAGCACAGATTCTATTGCTAGGGATCATCCAGAGCACTGTTTCTATACCTAGGGACCGTCATTCTATTCTGGGGGTAGGAAGATTAAGGGAGAAGATGGTTCCTTAGATACCCTGGTGCCAAACATTGTAGAGGTTTAAAGGTCAAATCAACACCTTGAATTAGTCTTGGAAGAGGACTGGTAGCTAGTGTAATTGCTGAGATAGCTGGGTTACATATTCCCAATAATTAGCCCCAGCTAGTCTAGCCAGAGCCTTCTGTGCTAGCTGCAGCCTCCGAGCACTCTTCAAGGATAGCCCCAAGTAGAGTGCACGGCAATAATCCAGTCTAGATGTAACTAAGGTATGGGTCACTTACAGTGTTCCCTCTAAGCTGAGTTGGCGTGAGCTAGCTCACAGTTTTTTAGCCTTTGGTTCACACATTTTTGTCCTAGCTCAGGAAGGATGGTTCCAGAGCAGACTAATTTATGCAGCCGCCAAATCGCTCGCTCACAACTTTAATGCCAGGAGCTCACAAAGCAGAATTTTTGCTCACAAGGCTCTACAGCTTAGAGGGAACATTGGTCACTTACTGTATAATTGCTGCAGTATTGGGGTCAAGATCTTGAATCCCATGGCGGGTGCGGGGAGGGCTCTGATTTTTTTGGGGGGGGGGCTTCTTCATGGTGAAACTGAGGAAGGCTCGGGGGGATTTAAGTCAGCAGCTCACACCTCTCCTCCCCACAGTGCCAGCCAAAATCGGGTTCCCACCGAGACCGCCCCGCTCCTCATTCTGGTTGCCTAGTTACCGCCCCTGCTGCTCCAGCTCCTCCCAACGCCGGGCTGGGAGGCATTGCGCACGCGCAGCCGCTAACAGGGCTGTCGCGGCTCCTCGGTTGGCGCCCGGCGTTTGCGCTGGGAGCCGTGGATTGACGCGGCGGGCGGAGGACTGGAGCCCGAAAGCAATGAGCTCCCGGAAAGGTACCGCGGACGGGGTGGCCGGCGACTGTTCCGTGTCCCTCAGGAGCGGCCTGGGGTAGTTGAAGGGCCCGGGGGAGGGAAGATTTGTCTTCTTGCGAGCGTGAGGCGCTGTTGGCGCACCGGCCCCCGTCTGCCTTGGATGACCCGTTTTCTTCTGTATTTCTCTCTCCCTTCAGTGTTGGCCCTGCAGGCCCGAAGGCGCCGCGCCAAGCACCCGCCGGCGGTCGGCAGGAAAGAGAAGCACCCGCCGCACCACAAAAAGTGAGTCTGCCTGCGTGCGTGTGGTATCTGGGCTATCCTCCTCGCTGCGGGACAGGTCGCCCCCTTGTCGCGCATTGCAATTGCGGGCGAGCCCCAAACTTCTTTCCGTCCTTCCTTGCTAGCCAGAAGGCATCAGCAGCCTTCGGTCTCTCCGGTTAGATGAGCTCTGAGCGTGTCTTCCTCGCTCCTTTCCTCACGGACACTTCTCGACGCGCGTTTCGTGAGAGAGAACCTCAGGTTGGCATCCTACCACCCCTCACCTGTAGAAATAGAACTCTTGTGGGATCTTTAACAAAAGAAGTTGCCAACTAGGGCCCACTGTGTGGGCTTTAAAGACTAAGGAGATCTTATTCTGGCATAAACGTTCATGGTCTAGAGCAGTGCTCCTTCTAAGCTGTGGAGTCTTGTGAGCAAAAATTCTACTTTGTGAGCTACTGGCATTAAAGTTGTGAGTGAGCAATTTGGCTACTGCATAAATTAGTTTGCTCTGGAGCCATCCTTCCTGAGCTAAGGCAAAAATGTGTGAGCTGGAGGATAAAAAACTGTGAGCTAGCTCACACTAACTCAGCTTAGACTGGTCTATAGCTCATTTTGACTCCAGTTGGTGATGTGGTTTTGCTGGAATAAAAACTTATTGGCCTTTAAGGTGTCACAAGACTATTTTTGCTTTTGGGGGGAGGAGGGGTTAAAATCTTGTTAGCCTTTAATTTTTCTCCCCTTTTTGCAGTAAAAATAAGAGTCTCAGGTTGGAGGTTACCAAGATTTTATTCATGAATAAGATTTTGTGGGCTAGCACCTGCTGTATTAACTACATATGCTTCTGTCAAAGCGTGCTCTAATTCATGAAGGTTAATGGTGGAATAAAACCTTGTTAAAATTTGGGGATCTCTGTTTTTCTTTAATGCAACATGTTCATGGAGCTTCTCCATAGGTATCTGTGATGCTGGCACATATCTCCTTTCTCCCTCTCCCCTTTTCACCAAAAGGTCCCCCCCCACTTTTATCCCCCTCTTGCGCTTACCCTTGCCTGGTGTTAAGTATAATGCAGCAACTCTTTGTTGGCATTTTCATACCCTGCCCTTGTGCTTCCTATGTATGCCATGTGCCTATAGCCCCTTAGGTTTGTTCTGTGCCACTCAGCTTGCCACTTTACAGCTTGCTGGTGTCTGGGCCTTGCATTATGCTTGTTCTTTGTCTCTAAGGATCAAGATTAGTAACAGCAGTTTCTTATTTTACTCTGAAATAGGCCATTATTTTCTTGGGGAAATAAGATGGTGCAAGAATGACTTCTTGTAGGCCTCCTGAAAGAATCTGTGGCTGAACATGGAATTCTTCAGTTTCAAAGTTGCTTCACTGTGTGTTTACTGTGTAGCTTATTTATACTGGACACCCCCCCCACTTGACTTTGACAGAAGTAACTGAGTATACCTTTCTGTATGAAGCAGAGATACCTTTCTGTATGAAGCAGAGATATTTTTTATTAGTATGTTGATCACAATGCGCATGTGATTATAATATCCATATGTTCCTTCCTGTGTACATCCTCTTTGGACTGATCATCCACTGTATGTAGTGAAAACATTTTAATGGAGGTGAAACTCCATGTGATTTTGGGGGATCTGTAATCATGTCCAATCATGCTTCTCCCATGTTTTGTATAGTTTGGCCCCTGAGACTTGTCAGTGCCTTATTCTCACTGTATCTGGACTATACCACTTCAGGTATGAGCTCACATGATTGAATGATTCTACTATACAAAATTTTCCCTACCAATAGCATATCAAGGACATATGTTCTCACCTAGCCTTCTTTTTGATGTGCTAGTTTTCTGTGAGATAATTATTTTTGGTATGGAGGTGAATTGTGGGGAGGGGCTGTGGCTCAGTGGTAGAGCATTTGATTTGCATGCAGAAGGTCCCACGTTCAATCATTAGCATCTCCAGTTAAACGGTTCAGATAGTAGGTGATGTGAAAGACCTTGACCTAAGACCTTGGAGAGCCACAACAAGTTTGAATAGACAATACTTAACTTAGAATCATAGAATCATAGAGTTGGAAGGGATCTCCAGGGTTATCTAGTCCAACCCCCTGCACAATGCAGCAAATTCACAAATACCTCCCCCTCCACACCCGCAGTGACCACTGTTCCACACCCAGAAGATGACAAAAAGCCTCCAGGATCTATGGCCAAACTGGCCTGGAGAAAATTTTCTTCCTGACCCCAAAGTGGCAATCAGCATTTCCCTGGGTATGTAAGAAAGGGCCACAAGAACTAAGCACTGAGGCAACCCTTCCTGCCCTCCCTCTCATGATCTGTGTAAGTTCACAGAATCTGCATTGCTGTCAGATGGCCATCTAGCCTCTGTTTGAAAACCTCCAAAGAAGGAGAGCCCACCACCTCCCGAGGAAGCCTGTTCCACTGAGGAACGCTCTGTCGGGAAGCTCTTCCTATTGTTTAGCCGAAAACTCTTCTGATTTAATTTCAACCCGTTGATTCTGGTCTGACCTATTGGGGCAACAGGAAACAATTCTGTACTATCCTCCATATGACAGCCCTTCAAGTACTTGAAGATGGTTATCATATCACCTCTCATTCGTCTCCTCTCTAACATACCCAGCTCCTTCAACCTTTCCTCATAGGACTTGGTCTCCAGACCCCTCACCATCTTCATTGCCCTCTTCTGGACACGTTCCAGCTTGTCTATATCCTTCTTAGATTGTGGTGCCCAAAACTGAACACAATACTCTAGGTGAGGTCTAACCAGAGCAAAGTGGTACCATCACTTTGTGTGATTCGGACACTATACTTCTGTTGATACAGCCCAAAATCGCATTTGCCTTTTTAGCAACCGCATCACGCTACTGACTCATGTTCAGTGTATGGTCTACTAAGACCCCTAGATCCTTTTTGCACATACTACTGTCAAAACAAGTCTCCCCCAACCTATAATTATAAATGTGATTTTTCCTACCTAAATGCAGAACTTTACATTTATCCCCACTGAAATTCATTAAATTTCTTTTAGCCCAGTTTTCCAGCCTGTCAAGATCATCCTGTATCCTGACTCTGTCTTCTACCATATTTGCTATCCCTCCCAATTTAGTATCATCTGCAAATTTAATAAGCATTCCCTCTATCCCTTCATCCAAATCATTGATAAAGATGTTGAACAAAACAGGTCCCAGGACAGATCCTTGAGTTACTCGTCACTGCTCTCCAAGAGGATGAGGAACCATTCACAAGCACTCTTTGGGTGCTCCTCCAGTTGCTGAGATACCTTTCCCTTCTCCTCCTGTTGCCTTCTTAGGAGTGCTTCATGCGCACTGTCCATGAACTCTTCACCTTCCCTTATAAACTGGAGTGTGGACAAGCCTGCCTCAGGTCCCTGTATTGTCTCCGCCAGTATGACTACCAACTTACACTTGCTGCAAGTGTAATTGGTGTTACCCTCAGGTAAGAATAGGAACATGCTATAGACTTTTCACATCACTGTCTCAGCTCCCTCACCAGCCATGGTGTTGCCATCCATTTCAAAATTAGTTCAGTTTAACTAACACTTCCTTGATAACTTCCCTGCCAAACTGCCTCTGATGATTACTTGTGAAAGGTTTGAGAAGCAAAAACTAGCTTAACAAATATAGAATGTAAGAGCTACTCAGCCTTCTATGGGGCCCCCAGGCTAAGAGCCCTTTGGCTCATGTCTCTGGCAAGGAGGAGCCTAATATAATTAAAGGCTCATCTGGCAGAGGGTGGGGCCAGCAGTCAGCCCCAGGCAAAACTGCTAAAAGCTGCAATCAGTTACACCAGGCAAAAGAGACAAACAGAAACTACACTCCCTCAAAGAAGCACCCCCTCTGACAGTTTATACACTCCCACACACCCTCAAACACTATCCTCCCACACAGTAAACTCAGCTACTACTCCTCAGCAGTTAAGGAAAGGCAAATAATAAAACACTCACCACTCCAGCAGCAGCTCCCTCTTTTTGATTTACTAATTGATTTACCAATGGTCATCCTCAGTGTAAGGCAACTTCATGTGTTTATTTGTTCATTAAATACTGTGTGTCTCTGCCTCCCTTACAGCGTAGACATAGCTTTGCTACCTTGTGAGAACCAGGCCAGTTTCCCCCCTCTATTTACTTTCTCTTCAGCTCTCACAAAGAAGCTTTTAAAAATATATCTTAGGTCCAGTCACTCTACCTGGTACATCTCTACAATCTTCCCTGCTCTTTTGTTGTTATCTGATACAGATACTCTTGTTGGCATGTTGGCTCTTCTTAGCTGGCCCTTCCCCTATGCAGTGATAGCCTGTTTCTGTCTGCCTTAGTATGTTTTGCCAGATTGCCCTTATCATTGTGAGAAAAATCACTCTGAAATAACACCCTATTGCATCAAAATGTACTGTCTAGCTATTTCTCTCATCAATTGGGATATGAGCTATTCCTGCTCTGTATCTTTCATTCTGCTAGTATAAAGTAATTGTAGATTTCCATTCTGTGCCTTCATTTTTAAGCCCATTGGCCACCTCATGTGAAAAAGAACGGACATATCTGAGTTTAATTTCTCATATGATTCTTGTTTTGCCTCCTGAATTCTTCGTGTCTCCAAGGAATGCCCTCTTGGGGACACACTGCTTATATACTTTGGTTTTCCCCTCTTTTGGAAGGGTGGTAGACAGCCGTTCTTTTGAGAAATTTTGTTTGAGAATTTGAGAAATATTAAAAACTAGAAATAAGGCCCGTTGTGGAAATAAATACAACGGGATCTAGAAAGAGGCTCTGGGAGAGTGCTCTGGCTTTGGGCAAACAGTGTCAGTCTGCTTTTAAAACATGAATCTGGGACCTGCACACCACCAGAATACAGCAGATTCCATATGCAACTGACATTCCAACTGCCTTGCGGGGGGGGGGGAGTTTGAGGTGTGGAATGGAGTGAAGTCCAATCAGCTTCCATATGCAAAAGACCAGGTTGTCGCAGCAGTTGTGGTGTGGGCGGGA